TGTATATCCCTCAGCTTCTTTATTCAGTCATCTATGATGGACACTGAGGTTGCTTCCATATCTTGGCTATTGCAGATAGTGCTGCAGTGAACATAGGGGTGCATAAATTTTTTCAAATCAGTGTTTCGGTTTTCTTTGGATAAATACCCAGAAGTGGAATTACTGGGTCATAAGTAGTTTTATTTTTAATTTTTTGAGGATCCTCCAAATTTTTTTATAGTGGCTGTACCAATTGCAATCCCACCAACAGTGCACAAGGATTCCCCTTTTCTCCACATCCTTCCTGACACTTGTTGTTTGATTTACTGATGATAGCCATTCTTACAGGTGCAAGCTGCTATCTCATGGTGGTTTTAATTTGTGTTTCTCTGATGATTAGTGACATTGAGCATCCTTTCATATGTCTGTTGGCCATTTGTATGTCATCTCTGGAGAAATGCCTGTTCAGGTCCTTTTCCCATTTTTTAATTGGATTGTTTGTTTTCTTGGTGTTGCATTGTGTGAGTTCTTTATAAATTTTGGATATTAACCCCTTATCAGATGTATTGGCAAATATCTTTTCACATTCAGTAGGTTATCTTTCCATTTTGTTGATGGTTTCCTTGGCTGTGCAAAAACTTTTTAGTTTGATGTAGTCCTCTGATTCATCTCATCTACTGTTGATTCCTTCTAGTGTATTTTTCATTTCATTTATTGTATTCTTCATTTCTGACTGGTTCTACTTTATGGTTTCTATGTCCTTTTTTATGCTTACTATCTCTTTGTTGAAGTTTTTGCTGAGATGATATGTTCTTCCCCTAAGTTCATTGAGCATCCTTTTAAGCAGTGTTTTGAACTCCATATCTGGTAGGTTGCTTGCTTTCATTTTATTTATTTATTTTTTTTTGGAGTTTTTTCCTGTTCTTTCGTGTGGGACATGATTTCTTGTTCACTCATTTTGGCTGCCTCTCTGTGTTTGTTTTATGTATTAGGTACATCTGCTACATATCTCAGTCTTACTCGGGTTACCTTATGTGGTAGGTGTCTTGTGTAGATCAGTGGCATATTGTCCCTGATCACCTGTGCCTGGTGCTCCAGGAGTGACACTTGTGTGGGTTGTGTGTGCCCTCCTGTTGTAGTTGAGGCTTGATTGCTGTTGGCACTTTAGTGGGTGAGAATTGGCCACACCAACCAGGTATGAACTGCTGTGTAGGGGCTGACTCCATGGAGTGGGATTTACTGTAGCAGGCTCATGTGCCTGTTGATACCACCCTTTGGGGTGCACCTTGTGGGGCTAATCAGGTGGTTCTCTATTGAAGTCTAATGCCAACCATGTGTGTTGGTTCTGGAGCATCTTAGGAGGGGCTACCCTGCAGGCTAAGGTCAGTCATTGCCTGTGACCTGCCTTGGGCTACCTGGTAGGAGCTATAGAGCTATCCGTGGTTGGTCACTTCTTGTATTGGACCCAGAGGCACATGGGAGAGGCCATGCAGCAAACCTGAGCCATTACCAGGTCTCGGTCAGTTCAGCATAAGTCCCAGGGCACCCCCAGGCCTAAGGCTGCCTGTTAGCTACCTGTAAGGCTCAGCAGCTGAATGAGCTTCAGGATGTATGTGAGTTGAGTGAAGCGTGGTCTCAGGGAGTCACCAGGGTAAAGCAAGTAGTGTTCACCAGGTTAGTGGAGATCAAGCTTTGTTGCCAGTACTGAGCCTGTGGCCACATGCAAAAGTCTCAGCTCACACCGAACCAAGCCACTGCCTGCCTTGGGCCTGTAGACCCCTGAGATTTGTTCGAGAAATACTGCAGCTGGAACTGGGGCTGGTTTTCCACCATAGAAGGAGTCTCCCGAGGTGTGAGAGCTGAGGCCTATTGATGGCTGCCAAAGAAGCTTCCTGCAGATAGTACAGAGTGGGGCTGATTCTCCAGCAACAACGTTGCCATTGGCAATCGAAGTTAGGTGGGGTGGGATCTCAGGGAGTTACAGAGTGGAATGATTGGATCTCATGAGGTCAATGCAGATTCAGATTAAGCCTTGGGTGGGGAGAGGGTTCAACACAGGCAAGATGATGCCCACCTGTAGGGTGCACAGGAGGAGTGCTCAACACAGGAACAATGGCGGCTGTCCCTCCAGCTCTCACCCTGAAGCCACACAACTCAGTCTTTCCCTGTATGTCTTTGCACCTCCCACGGTGCTGTTCCTCTGCTGGAGCCCAGGGTGAATGCCTCCTGTGAGCAAGTGAGTCTGTATGTTGGCCCTTTAAAGGGACATTTGGGTTTTCAGCTGCCTTCCCTCTCATTTGGACAACTGGAATCCTCACTGATTTTCACAGCCATATTTTGTGGGGACTTTTTCCTCGGCACTGGAACCCTGGGTTTAGGAGCCCATTATTGGACTGGGGCCCCTCGCTCCTCCGGGGGGGCCTCTGCAGCTGAGATATCCCTTTCTCCTGATGCTCAACCACCATACGTGGGTATAGGTCCAGCCCTTTTCATGTTTCTTCCCCTCCTACCAATCTTGATGTGGCCTCTTCTTTATATCCCCAGTTATAGGAGTTCTGTTCAGTTTGTTTTCAGATTGTCCTCTAGGTTGACTGTTATGTCATTTAGTTGCAGTTTTAATGTGGTTATGAGAGGAGGCAAGCAGAGCATTTACCTACTTCATCATCTTGACCAGAACCTAGAGGGGTACTACTTTAGATAGGATGATCAGGCAAGATCTTTGAGAGTGTAATATTTGAGCAGAAATTTGAATAAAGCGAGCAAGACATGCAAGTGTGTGGAGGAAGAGTTCCAGGTTTAGGGAGTGACTGCTCAATCATTTGACCAGGGGCTGTCCTAGAAATAGTGTGCTCTCTCAGCTGAGATGGACATTGGTGAAGCTAATACTGGAAGTTGTAAGCTAACCATACTTCTTATAGAGGTACAGAAAGCCTTTTCTTTGAAGCTTAATCTGAGTGGTAAATCTTTGTTTTTGTCACAGGCCCTAAAACAGAAATGTGCTCAGAGTGTTCAAGGAACTGCAAGTAGGCTAATGTAGCTGGAGAAGAATGAGAAGGAGAATGATAGGGAGTGAGATTGCCAAGGGACCAAACAAGCAGGACCTGTAGGCTGTGATAAGATACTGGATTTCATTCTAAGTTTGATAGAAAGCCATAAGAACAATTTGAGCAGGGAAATTACATTATATGTTTTACATTTTAAAAGGATCACTCTGGCTGCCAAAATAGGCTATCTGTGCCATAAGCCATCGTATCTCTTTATCTATTGCTACATAACAAATCACTTCAAAAATTAGTGTCTTATAAGAGCAATGGCTTATATTTTCTCAAAGTTCTGTGAGTCTTCTGCTGGACTCACCTGAACTCATTCATGTGGCTGGATCTAGGTGTTCTAAGATAGCTTCACCCACATATCTGGGGCCTCAACTGGGACAGCTGCAGTGACTGGGATGGCTGAGCTGTTTTCTATTTTTTCTTTCATCTTGTAATTCTTCCCAAAAGTCAAGCCCTAGTGTGCAAACACTTACCAGCCTCTGCTAGTATTGTTTGCTAATGTTCCACTGGCAAAAGCAAGACCATTGTCCAAGCCCAGAGCCATATAAGGATATAGAAGGGCTATACAAGGGTATCGGTATCTGGAAATATGATTTGTGGAGGCCATGCTGTAACTGTCTACCACATTATACACTGTTTTAGCTACCTTCTTTCTTCTGACCCTTTGCTCATCAATTTATCTTCTGGGCATAACTTGTTTTCCTGCATAAGTATGCTTCCAAGATAATAATGTACCAGTCATATGGACTTTATATATTTTCTATTGTTGTGACAACAATTTCTTATTGTAAATAATAAGTTGTTTTATATCAAGGAGAGAATGTCCATTGTATGGACTTTCAGTAGTCCTTACTAGAGCTCAGTGGTGCCCAACCTTTTTGGCACCAGGGACCGGTGCTCCTATGAGAATCTAATGCCTGATGATCTGCGGTGGAGCTGAAGAAGTAATGCTAGAGTGAGGAATGGCTGCAAATACATATGAAGCTTCACTTGCCTGCCCACCACTTACCTCCTGCTATGTGGTCTGGTTTCTAACAGGCCATGGACCAGTACCAGTCTTCATCCCAGGGGTTGAGGAACTCTACCCTAGCTAACAGTCATTGTACCCCTTGTGATCCATCTCAAGTCTATGACAGTGTACATGTAAATGTATAACTTTTGTAACCCTCGTTCTTAACCCACTGTTGATGGAGCTTTGTATATTGAGATTTTTAAAAAATGTATTGAACTGAGGAATGCTCATTCATTGCAAAATGCAATGCAGAAGCAAAATGGCATAGCTACTTTGGAAGACAAGAGTGGAAAACTAAACATACTCTTACTGTATGATTCAGCAATCATGATTCTTGATATTTACCCAAATGAGATGAAAACTTATGTGTACACAAAAACCTACACATGATGTTTATAGCAGCTCTCTTCATAATTGCCAAATCTTAGAAGCAACCAAGATGTCCTTCAGTAGGAAGCTGGATAAATAAACTGGAGTATATTCAGATAGTGGAATATTATTCAGCACTAAAAAGAAATGATCTGTCAAGCCAAGAAGGAAACTTAAATGCATATTACTAAATGAAATATGCATTCTTTGTCTTTGGAAAACTATCTAATGACATATCTAACAATACAGTATCATTTAGAGTATTTTCAGTGCCCTAAAAATCCTCTCTGCTCAGCCTATACTTTCCTACCCTCTCTCACTTTTTATTTTTCATTAGACAAACTATTTTAACTGTAGCTGAGGACTTAATTAATTGGGAATAATCTGGGATTGGATGTTTTAATTTTACAGATTGAATTAATTAGACAAGGTCAATTTACCTGTATTGCATATAAAGCAGGAAAACTGTAAAGAAATAACATTTTTAGTAGTAATGGAGATTACTTAAAACACAATATGAAGAATTTTGCATTCTTCCTCCTGCAAATTAATAATCAGTACCCTTCACATATTTTCTGTTTTGCCAGATACTAACAATGTGAAGCCATTGATGGTGTGAAAATTCTGGATCCAACAAGGTTTGCATTGGCTTATCTGTGTTTTAGTGATTGAATTTTAATTTTCTCTCAAAAAATTCATTTGTATTTTAGATTATAACAGGTTGCTTATATGCTTATTATCAAAATTTTGGAAAGAAAAAAATTCCTGTAATTTTATCATTCTAAAAGACAGTATACTATTTATGCATTTCTTTCTAATCTGCATATTTATCTATAATTTTTAAAAGCAGAAATTTGAATCATATTATAGTTTTACCCATAAAAATATAAGGTGTTATTTTATTATATATTTGTCACAAAATTACTTAATCATCCCCCCAATATTTCACTATTATAAATTAGGCTTTCTTTTACATAAATCTTTGTCTATGAAATCTTTTAATTTCTTCCTTAGGATAGAATTCCAGAAGTAGAATTACTACATCATAGGAAATATACTTTTTAAAGTTCTTGATACATAAGATAAAATCACTTTTTTGAACAGTTCTAATGATCTTAATTCTTACTACTGTTATATGAGCTTGTCTGTGTTGATAGACTATTAAGATAAGAATTTATACAAAAATCTTCAAGATGGTAATTATTTATCATTGTTTACATTATAGCGTACTGATGGGGCCTTTTGCTACTATGAATTTAGGAGATCTTGGAGCAGAAGTTATAAAAATGGAAAGACCAGGTAAATCTATTACTCCCTTTAAAACATAGAAACAAGCTAATAAATATTTTTAATAGTTTTAAAAATATTCATGTACTCTATATAGGATGAAGAGAGAATTGAAAGGAAATGATAATTTTTTCTTCTCCATTATTTATTTTCCTCTGAACTATACTAATGATCTTTTTTTACTCTTCATAGGTGCCAAGGGCTAAGGTTTAAGCCAGGCTCTTCACATGCACCTGAAAGCCTCTGATAGAAACTGAGATGTAACATGGAATGATGTTAACAACACTTATAGTGCCATTTCTAAGCACTTTGCCTATATTTGTTTAATCTTTATATCAACCTTGTGGGCTAATGTAATGCATTATTCCTAGATTATAAATGAGAAGACAGAGAGACACAGAGAGATAAAACAAATTGTCCAAGGTCACACAGGTAAGAAGGAATATTCAGGCACTCAGCTCTGATTCTGGTCATCTTTAGCCCACACAAGCCTTCCCATTGAGACTGAAATTGGTATGGGCATGGCCATACTACTTCACTGTGAGATGAAGTAAAGACAAGGACAAGGGGAGAGTAAAAGGGAAGAAATAGGACACAGAAGAAGGAGAGAAGGAAAAGGAATCAAAGTCCTTCAAAAAGGAACTCAGATACTCTATTCTAACTCATTCTTTTCTATTTCTTTTTTCTTTTTTATTACGGTGACATTGGTTAACAAAATCCAGTAAGTTTAAGTGTACAATTCAACAGTAAGTCATATATATTTTGCAATGTATATTCACTGCCCATTAGTTAGATTTCTTTCTGTCACCACATATATGACCCCTTTTACTCCACCTACCTCCCCTCTTCCCCTCCCCTCTGGTAACCACTAGTCTGTTGTCCATGTCTATGAGGCTCTGTTTGTTTGTCCTGTTCATTTGTTGCTTTTAGGTTTATATCCCACATATAAGTGATATCATGTGGTTTTCAACTTTTTCTGTCTGGCTTATTTCACTTAGCATGATTATCTCAAGGTCCATCCATGTTGTCACAAATGGCAGTATTTCATCTTTTCTTATGGCTGAGTAATATTCCACTGTATATATGTACTGCATCTTTTTTATCCAATCATCATTTGAAGGGCACTTCAGTTGTTTCCATGTCTTGACTACTGTGAATAATGCTGCAATGAACATAGGAGTAAACATATCTTTACCGATAAATGTTTTCAATTATTTTGGTAGATACCCAGAAGAGGGATTGTTGGGTCATATGGTAATTCTGTACCTAATTTTTTGAGGAACCTCCATATTGTTTTCCATAGTGGCTGTACCAATTTACATTCCTACCAACAGTGGATGAGGGTTCTTTTTTCCCAAAAAAAAACTTCTCCAACACTTGTTCTGTTAATGACAGCCATTCTTACAGATGTGAGGTGGTATCTTATTGTGGTTTTGATTTGCATTTTCTTAATAGCTAGTGAAGTTGAATGTCTTTTCATATGCCTGTTGGCCATTTGTATGTCTTCTTGGGTGAAGTGTTGATTCAGGTCCTCTGCACACTTTTTAATTTGATTGTTATTTTGTTGTTGAGTTGTATGAGTTCTTTATGTATTTTAGATATTAGCCCCTGATAAGAGGCTTTGTTTGCAAATATCTTCTCCCATTCAGGAGGTTGCCTCTTTGTTTTGTTGATGGATTCTTTGCTGTGCAGAAGATTTTAGTTTGATATAGTTCCATTCATTTATTTTTGTTTTTACTTCTCTTGCCTTCGAGGTCAAATTCATAAAATCTTCTCTAAGACTAAGGTCTGTCAGTTTAGTACCTATGTTTTCTTCTATGCAGTTTATTGTTTCATGTCATATATTTAGGTCTTTGATCTATTTTGAGTTAATTTTTGTGTGTGGTGACAGATAGCAGTCTAGTTTCATTCTTTTGCTTGTGGCTTTCCAATTTTCCCAGCACCATTTATTGAAGAAGCTTTCTTTTCTCTACTGTATGTTTTTGGCTCTTTTGTCAAAAATTATTTGCCCATATATATGTAGATTTATTTCTGGGCTCTCAATTCTGTTCCATTGGTGTGTGTATCTGTTTCTCTGCCAATAAATACCATGCTGTTTTGACTATTGTCGTTTTGTAGTATAATTTGAAGCCAGGGAGTGCGATACCTCTGGCTTTGTTCTTTTTTCTTAATATTGCTCTGGCTTTTGTGATTCCATACAAATCTGATAATTTTTTTTGTTCTAATTCTTTAAAAAATGCCATTAGGATTTTGATAGGGGTTGCATTAAATTTATATATTGTTTTGGGTAATATTGCCATTTTAACTTTGTTGATTCTTCCAATCCATCAATACGGAATATCTTTCCATTTTTTTGTGTCTTCTTCAATTCTTTTAATAGTGTCTTGTAGTTTTCATTGTATAGGTCCTTCGCATATTTTAAATTTATTCCTACATATTTTATTCTTTTGTTACAATTACAAAAAGAATTGTTTTTTTCCATTTCTTTTTATGAAATTTCATTGTGAGTATATAGGAACACAATAGATTTTTGTACATTGATTTTGTATCCTGCGACTTTACTGTATTTTATTGTCTTTAGTAGTTTTTTTTGGTAGAGTCTTTAGGTTTTTCTATATAAAGAATCATGTCATTTGCAAAAAGTGACAATTTGACTTTTTCATTCCCGTATTGGATGCTGTTTTTTTTTTTTACCTCTTGCTCTAGCTAGGACTTCCTGATTGCTCTAGCTAGCACTTGCAATACTATATCGAATAAGGGTAGTAAGAGCAGGCATCTTTGTTTTGGTCCTGATCTTAGAGGAAAAGCTTTCAGTTTTTCACTAATAAGTATGATATTAGCTGAGGGTTTGTTTTATATGGCCTTTATTACATTGAGGTACTTTCCTTCAAGACCTATTTTAATAAGTGTTTTAATTATAAAGGGATGCTATATCTTGTCAAATGCTATTTCTGCGTCTGTTGATATGATATGATTTATCCTTTATTTTGTTTATGTGGTGTGTCACATTGATTGATTTGCATTTGTTGAACCATTCTTGTGTCCCTGGAATGAACTCAACTTGATCATGATGTGTATTCTCTTCAGTGTATTGTTGTATTCAATTTGCTAGTATTTTGTTTAGGAGTTTTACATCTGTATTCATCAGAGATATTGGTCTGTAGGACAAGTATTAAATTATCTTTGAATGTTTTCTAGAATTCACTAGTGAAGCTGGAAAGTCTAAATAGATCGATCAACAGTAAGGAAATTGAAACAACTATCAAAAATCTCCCAAAAAGTAAAAGTTTGGGATCAGGTGGCTTCATTAGTGAATTCTATCAAATGTACAAAATGGTTTAATACCTGTCCTTCTCAAACTCTACCAGAAAATTGAAGAAGAGACAATACTTCTTAACACATTGTATAAGCAACCTGGAGGAGGCCATAGGAGTTCTAAGTAGCTCTTGTGTTTTCCTCTCGGTTGCTAATTTCACTGGAGTGAGCTGACCTTGATGGTGAGGCACCTGTGAATGAGCCTGTTGGTTTGAAATGTACCATGATGTTTCAGAGTTAAAGATTAATAGCTCATACTAGTATTTTCAGGAGCTGGAGATGATACACGAACTTGGGGGCCACCTTTTGTGGGGACAGAAAGTACTTATTTACTCAGTGTAAACCAAAATAAAAAAGTAAGGATATCATTTTTTTTTCTCTTTGTGTAATTCTCTTGTAATAACAAAACTTTTGATATCATCCGGACTTGTTTGCCATCCTTGTTAAAGTTTATAATCTAATCCAATAGATGTAAGTCTACTTGATTAGAGAACCAAATTCCAAAATTTATTTATACCACCGCCTCAACTTTCACATCATTGCTCTGCTGCTACTTTCCTTATCTATTTGGCCGATTGATAATTTCTTTTATATGTTAAGATGAGAATCAGTGATCATCTGCTTTGGTTCTGTTGGATCAATCCAGCAAATTTAGAATTTGTGTTTACTAGATATATTTTGAACCCAACACCTGATAATTGTCCTGACTTTACTGCTCTGTTTTCCTACATCTTTTCTATAGCATAGTTTAGGTTTTTTTCTTTTTCTATTGAAACTTTGATTTTTCTAAATTGTTCTTCATTATTGTAGCCCTGTTCTGTTTTTCTACAGTGGTTACTCTCACCTTGACCTAACTCCCATTGTCTTCATTCTCAGGCCCTTCTTTTTATGTTCTCAGTAGTTCTTCTTCTCCTCCTCCTCCTCTTTCTTCTTCTTCCTTCTTCTTTTAATCTAAGAGATTGTTTTTTCTGTAATTATTCTCTTTCTGTTCTGTATTTCTGTGTCATCTTCAATGTTTACAGTTCCTACTTCTTTGCTTTTTTTTTTTTCAGGACATTCTGATATTTTATCCTGAGTAGTTAAAGTTTCAGATTTTATTGAACAAATACTCTACAATTTCAATAGGGCTTCTCAATGGGGAAGTATTAGGTGGATTTCATAACTTTTACTACTAAGACATTAGTGTACATTTGAATATTTTAGACCTACAGATATAATTCTGACTAAAATAAATGAATAGCTGGGACTTCCCTTTCAATCTCCTTGGATCTTGCCAGTGTCCTCCATCAGACTATAATAATTTTAAGTTTCATTGTAGGCTTGATTTCTCTTTATGTCTGATTGGTAACAATAACATACATTTCAACTCATATTAAACTTAGATTGGGGACATTATTCATGTCTATCATTTTTAGCTAGTTCTATAATTCTAAGTTATGCATCTTACTGCCTAGAGGAAAAATTGTTTTTGCCTTGTTTTTTATTCTCTATGGCATGGATTTCTCTTTTGGCCTTAGGAGTAGCAAAACAATCTCTGTATTCAGGCCTTAGTGGCTGTGATTGCTGATATAATGAGTCTAGTTTATAGAAACTGATCCAAAGTATTATACAAAGCTATCAGCTGGATACATGAGAGTTCCTAAAAATATGAATCCTTTGTCAGCTAGGTTAAAAAAAAAATGTGAAAAACAAAACTCTGTTTAGAAAATCTGTATGGAGCCTGGCATTTTCATGACAATGTGATTTGATAACTTTCTAACACTTTATCTATATTTCAAATAATTCTCCATGTTAATTAGTTGACAGTCACAATATCCATTCTGTGTACATGTATTATGGTCTACAGAGCAATGTCACAGATTTTATTTTCCTCTCACATTTTATTATGAAAAATTTAAACATAACAAAAAAGTTTAAAAAGAGTCTAATTAACTCTCATTTACGCTATGCCTAGATGTAACAATTTTGACATTGTTCTATATTAGCTTATTTACATATGTGTATGTATGTGTATGTATGTGTTTATGTGTGTAATTTTTAACTACTTGAAAGTAAGTGAAAGATATTATGAAACTTGGCCCTTAAATTTTTCAGAATACATCTCTTATGAATAAGGACATTCTTTGACATAACATTTAAAAATTATTTCATGATTTATTTTTACTCATCACTGTGGTTAAATTATCATCACTTTCCCTTATATTTCTGATAGTGCTAATCCATTCTGTTTCTAAATTATATCTAATGAAGAGAACTCTGTATTTCAACTTGATTTTAGTTCTTATTTACTCTGTGACTGGAAGGAAGGTTTATTTTTTTTCTCCCTTCTAGAAAAAAGAAGATAGTGGGTTCTCTAACTTTTACAAAATTGTGCTTGTTTTTTATTCTGGGTAAGATTCTAGAATAGATTGTTAGGTAATTTGTGGGCACCTAGATGAGGAAGAGGTGATCACCACTAAAACTGGGAACCAGTTTTCCCTCTCTTTATTTCCTACTAGATTATTATGTCAGGGAAATGCCATAAACAACCACTGCAGCAGTCAACTTGTATTAGACTTGGAGATAGTACGGAGACCAGTATAATTCAGAGAAAGTTTTCGACAGTTCTGATTCTAAGCCTTTAGAAGGCTCTGATTTGTTTAGAATTTTTATGAATGACTTTACTGAAGATATAGGGAACATACATGATCTTGAAATGGGTGAAAATCATTAAACAGAGAGGGAGAGAGAATATGTTGGATGACAAACTCACTAAGAATCAATATCTAGTAAGTGGCCAGTTTTTATTTATTTTAAGTAAATACATATAAAGTAAATACATATAAAATGCCCTATATGCTTTTCCAGGGATATTTTATCAATAAATATTGTAATGCATACATACTGAGTTCTTGGAAATCACAAAAAATCTACTGGGCATCTTTGTCAGTAGAAATCTTTAGCTCTTAAACTCAACTTTTTCATATTTTTCTTATAACATTGTAGAGTCAGATTGCATGGTACTGTGAGCACATTTAAATTTTTTTTCTTGTTACACAAGTAATGCTTGTTTATAGGCAAAAAGATTAATATTTTAGTGTATCATGTCAAATCTCTTTATGCCCTTTTATGTAAAAGTTTCCCCTCAAAACATGAGATATTACCATGAATGTTGTTTTTTAATCTGCTTTTTTGATTAAGATATTTAGAATACTTTTCTATTAGCATAAGTTATTCATTATATTTATATTTTTGTCTTTTTGAAACTGAATTTGTTTGTGGTCTATCTGTATACTTTACGTGGACTGAGATGTGATTTAGGAGTCCGTAGAAGTCTAAAAATATAAGTGTCCTACATAGAAAATTTTTTTGTTTTTATGGTGGTAAAATATATATAACATGAAAATTTACATTTAACCATTTTTAAGTTTATAATTTAGTGGCATTATATTCATAGTATTGTATAAACATCACTATTATCTATTTCTAAAATGTTTTATCACCCCAGATAGAAACACTGTCCATTAGGTAGTAAGTCTCCACTTCCCTTTCCCCACAGCCCCTGATAATCTCTAACCTACTTTCTGTCTCTGAATTTTCTTATTTCATGTAAGTGAAATCATACAACATTTGTACTTTTGTGTCTGGTTAATTTCACTTAGCATAATCTTCCCATGTTGTAGAGTGTATCAGAGTGTCTTTCCTTTTTATATCTGAATAATATTCCACTTTATGGATACATTTGTCTGTTAATGGACATGGGTTATTGCCACCTTTTGGCTATTGTGAATCATGCTGCAGTGAATATTTGCATGCAAGTATCTGTTTGAGTCCCTGTTTTCAATTCTTTTGGGTACATACCTAGGAGTGGCATTGCTGGGTCATGTGATAATTCTATGTTTAACTTCTTGAGAAATCCACACAGGTTTTTTTAAAATTAAAAATAATTTATTAAATGTTACTTCCGTAAAGTACTAAATCATATAGCATGTAGAATTCATGCAGTGTGACATGACCAGTAGGAGCCTAGATGTGTTTGATGTAGTTTGTTTTCTTTAGTGCCTTCGAGACTGCCTTGTAAGTAGTAAATAGAAGCTCAGAGAAATTTGTGGAACAAACTGATCTGTAACTGTAACTTCGTGTTTTATTTAATATTAACAACTGCCCTCCCTCCAAACCACCAAGCAATACTTGGTAGAATCATTAACGATAAATAAATGCATGTTTATTAGGACTGTCCCTGGAGCATGCTGCATGGAGTTGCCCATAGGAGAAGCAGCTCAGTGCTAATTGGCATCTGAAATTTGGGAAGGATGCCTATGGCTTTAGATTTGCTGTCATACTTAAACCTCTCTATCACTGTCTTAATATAGTTATCATTCCTCTCTTGTAGGTCATCACCTAGGCTGCTGGTATGTCAGTTTCAGGAGCTCTGGAGGATGACAACTTACTTCCTTGAGATGTCTCCTAAGATTCCCCTCCTCCCTAATTTGGTTAAGTCAGGAAATTCCATAGACACACTCCAAACTTCGTGACACAGTGATAGATAAGTACTCAATTTATTTATGTGTTTTCATCTAAAGTTTATGTTAATCTCAACCTTTTCCATCTAGAACAGAGGTTGGCAAATTATGTGGGCCAAATTGGGTTTATTTTTGTACAGCTCATGGACTAAGAATGGATTTTACATTTTAAAGATTGTTGAAGAAGAATAAAGAAGAACATGTGATAGGGAATCTATCTGGCCTGCAAAGGGTACAATATTTACTGTTGTACCCTTTATAGAAAAAGTTTGCCCACCCCTCATCTAGAGTCTGATTCTATTAGTCGTATGTGTGTGAATGTGTCTAAATCTATGTCAACATGGCTTAAAAAATTTATTGAATAATTATCAGGTACTTAAATGTGTTCAAGAATGACTATAATGAATTTCTTTGGGTGACCTGATTTCTGTGATGACTTTAAAAAAGACTTTAAAAGATATGTAGTCACAATTGAAATTTTGAGAAGAATTTTAAGATTGAGGTTTACAGTGGTTCATTGTCCTCTAATTCTTATAGCAGTCATCTGGGAATCGAAATCTATATCTTGTTTTAGACAGTTACTGACTCACTGGGTTATAGTTTAATAGTTTTCAAAAAATGGTTCATTAAATACATTTAAAACTCTTTGGAAAGAAAGCATCTGAAAAGTGTGAATGCATTTCAGAATCATGTTTACATGTATGGTGCCTATATGTGCATGCTACATTGAGAAATATCTCATAATAAAGATGGAGATGTTGGTTAGCAATATCTTAAAGGGCCTCTTAAGGAATTTGGCTTTTACTTTGATTAAGATTGTAAGCTACTGGAGGGTTTTGAGCAGAGAAATGATGTGATCTGAAATATTTTTAAAAGGATCACTCTAGCTACTGTGTTAAGAATAGATTGTAGAGGACAAGGTTGGAAGTGGAAGAACAAATACAAAACTATTGAAATATTCCAGGCTAGCGATAATGGTGGCTTGAATTACAGTAGTAATGGTGGAGGTGGTTGAGCAATGATAGGATTCCGATTATGTTTTCAAGATAAAGAGGATAGTATTTGGAGACAGATTAGATGTATCAGCGAAAGAGTAGAGTTAAAGATGACTAAGTTTTTGGCCTGAGCAATTAGAAGAATGGAATTGCTATATAATGAATTGAGCAAGACTGTGGAAAGAAGTTTTAGTAGGGAAAATAGCAAAAGTTTGTTTTGAAAGTTTGGAAGTCTCTTAAGAAATGTGACTCATCTTGAGATGCCTGTTGGATAGCCAGGTGGAGATGTAAAATAAGGGATCGGGGTTAGGAGTTGAGGGGAAGATATAAAGTTTGATAGTTATAGAACAACTGGATGGTATTCGAAGCCTCACTGAGATCATTTAGAGAGTGAGTGTAGATAGAGAAAGGAGGGTCCAAGGGGCTGAGCCTGATGTACTCCAATGACTAGATGTTTGGTAGCTGATGAGAACACAGGGAAGAAGATTGAGAAGGAATTGTCATTGAAGTGGGAAGAGAACCTCCTGGAAGCCAAGTAAAGAAAGTGTCTATTTCCACGACAATTTAAGCTTTAAAGTGGAGTCAGTTTAAGCATGCATGGAACCGAATGGCTTGCATTTCCTAAATTCACCATGCTGTCTCTTATTTCAATCTTTGCACACCATGTTTCCACTGCTTGGAACACCATTCCCCTACCACACCTGGTTACTCTCTCTTTTTCCTTTAGCTCTCATTGTGAATGTCATTACTTCTTTACAGACTTTCTTGATCCTTGAAGATTGGGTTGGGTGTTCTCTATCAATTTTGTATTTGCCTTTTACTTGTCTGTATCCCCCACTATCCTGCAGCCTCTTGTTTATTCTTAGTTCCATACATCGTGCAGAGCACATTGTAGGGACTCAACAGGAGTTTCTTGAATCAATGAATAAATAATCAGAACTTGACTGAAGAGTTTTTAATAGCTGCCATTTTTTTCTGCATTCTACTTTTTGGAGATAATGGTAAGTGGTAAATATTATGTTTACATTTCCAAATAAACTTTTAGAGGATAGCCTGGAGTTAGTGCATAGTTGCACTACTCTGTTATTTTTTATATAGTTCATATGTAGCACTATAAAATGGTCATTACTTTAAGATACCAAAAGAGCCTGAACCATGAATATTCAATTATTGTCATTAAGCTTTAGGTTTTTTTCTTAAGGCAGGAAGGGGAACTAGTAGATTTTAAAAAGGATTTTTGTGTCTGTATATGATTATGTGAGACCGGGATTTTTCTTTAAAGCCTCCCAGTCCAATGGAAATGTTGAGGTGTAAGATATTATAACAGGTAAAATATTTTCTGAAAGTCCCTCTTATCATAAAAATACTGCATGTGTAACACATGCAAAATCTTATATGATAGTATTTATTTTCTTATCCCCATGAATGTGGGTGGGCTGGGATTCAGCCAATCAAGACTGAGTAGATTTGCCTCTAAATTGCAGATTGGGGGCCTGGTCTGCTCTGCATGTCTGTTATAGTCCTTGGATGAGTGGCTACCAAGTACATGTTCTTCTCCTAGTGAAAGGCAAGGGCACAAGAGAACAAACCCATTCTCACAAGTTTAAAGCCTCTCTTATATCACATCTGCTAATGTTCCTTTGGTAAAGGAAAGTCACATGACCAAGCCCAACACCAGTGGGGGATGAGATATATTCTACTGTTCTGGCAGGAACTACGAAGTCACATGGCAAAGGGTATGGATTCTGAGATGGGTGAAAATTGGGAATGACAATGCATTTTATCACATCCCCAGACAAATAAAATGTTAATCCATGTGGGCAGCCTCACACTTCCTAAAGTTTCACATCTATAACTAACTATGGTTAGAATAAAAAGTTCTGGGCCATTGGAGAATCTCTAAATTTTCTTCCACTTCTCAGATCTTGTACTAGCATTTTAGAGTGGCAAAGGGCCTAGAAGATAGAGTATATAATTCAGAAGTTCTCAGCTAAGGGGAGAATGGAGGTATTATATACTTTTAAGTGATAAGGATGGGGGAGTAAGGAGGTGATGGGGAAAGGCATGTATAGTCTGAAGAAACACCTCTCAAAATTCTATAATCTCCTACATCTGCACCTCCTAACAATCATTAGAAAAACATCCATACAGAACCATGTCCTTTATTTCCTGAAAAGGAAACAGATCCAGAATAGCGAAAGTACCTAAGGTCATACAGCTGTTTAATGGTGGAAAGGTTTAAAACTCAGGCTTCTTGACTTAATATGAAGTGCCTCTAAGCTTTTCATACTTAGATATATATTGTTAAGTGATGACATGGACTTTGTGATTACAAGACGCTGAATAGCTCTAGTTGAGAGTAATATATTTTTGCTATTCTTTTTCATTTGTTATTAATCATATTTTCAGTGGTGGAAGTCATGAAAAAATTTGCTCATCAGGGAGTCTGAATTTCAATAGATTCTTTTGGAAGCAAAGGTCATTTATGAGCCATGAGTGTGTGTGTATATAAAGAAAGCAAGGGCCATCTCTTTTTTTAAAGTTTGAAATATATTCCTGGTAATCAATGTTTATTTTTAGATTTTTTTAGTAAGACTGATTAGATTGGTCTAAAGTTGCACATGTAATTGGGATCTTAGACTTTCCTGATGTTTCTCAGTGATATTGCTGTCTTTTCAGTGCTGTCCAAGCCCAAGATGTCTGTTCTTACTCCTATGTTGGCCTTTTTGCTGATGAGAGTAATCTTAGAATGGTTTGGAGATTTACTTTAATGGACTCTGACAGTTATGTGGTTGAGATTGCCTCAGGCTGTAAATTCTGGTCTGTAGGACAAAAATACTAGACTGATCACAAGGGAGGACTTGGTTATTTTTATTAACACAATCCTTTTATTATTTTAGAGGAAGCTGAGTATGAACATTAGGGGGCAGTGTTTAAAAAGCTATTACACTAGAAATTTCTTTTTGAGAAAACTATGGTTTCCTGTGTACTACTGGGTAGAGAGAATATCTGAAAGGATATATATATTCACACATTTATATATACTTTTAAAATTATATTGATATTTTCTTTAACAATTTAAAGTTGTATCTTCTTTGTATCTTTCGAGCATGTTATTAATTGTAAAACTTTAGCAGGAAGAATTCTCTCTACTACGTTAAAATATTTATTTTTTTCTTCCTGTTAACTTTATTAACCTTTCTTTCTAGAAGGATAAACATTACGTTATATTATTGACTAATTTTGGGGTAGGAACATTACGTATGCCCTTTAATAAAATTGACTTTTTATGGAGTTTGCAAAGTACCTTTTTGATTTTTGTGAATTTCCCAATGGAATTTTCTTAATATCTGTCCTTGTATGGACAGATTGCAGGATTCCACTTGGGCCTCATAAGGGACCTTAGAACTCAATTCAGAGAGAATATTCCAGAGAGTTAGACCTATTCTTTAGTTTTAAATAGAAAAAGCCTAAGAGATCTATTTATGAAATGAAGAAATAGCATGTATGAAAACAAAGGGACAAGAACAGCCAAAACAATTTTAAGGAAGAGCATGGGAGGCAGATTTCCCCTGTTAGGTATAAAGACTTTACAACCATAATAATAACATAGTATGGTATTAGCACAAGGATAAAGAAATAGATTAATGGTACAAAATAGATAGCTCAGAAACATACTGGCAGATATATGGAATTTTTTTTTTTTTTTT